CTTAAAGCCATAAACACTGGGGCAGTAAAACACAGAAATGTCCCAGTGCTGAGGAAGACACCCTGGTCACATTAAAAAATAAATCTTATTATAGTAGAAATCATAAGTGAGGGGGGCGTTAATTTTTAAACATATCTCTAAATTAAAGCTAAATTATTTTTATTACCACAGCTCCGAGAGCCTCTTGTGAAACCACTGCTTGGCCCTTCACCTGTGTTGCACTTTGAATTCAGCAGGATTACAGATTTCTCAGGATTAAAAAAAAAAAACAAACAAAGAAGGTGAAAATCTACCATTTGCCTGAAGTTGTCTGGATGTTCCAGGGGGAGCAGCATGATGGGGCTGTGATGACAAAAAAAAAGGGAAAAAAAAGGATTTGAGGGATTCTTTTGCTTCGTGCATGGATTGGGATGGGGAGTGAGTGGGTTTGGGAGCCAGGGGGGTGACATTGCTCTGCCTTTCCTCGTCACCTCCCTGCACATCCCCACCACCACACCGAGCCCACGTCCTTCTGTGTCCACACATGTTGGAATTTGAGGTATTGATGATTCTGAGATGGTAAAAAGTTTTTGTCTTTTTGCCTCGTTGCTAAAGAAGAAGCTATAATTTGTTTGTGCTGTTTTTAAGGTTGTTTATTTTTGTTTATTTATAACATGTTCTGCTGCCCTGCCACAGGTTTGTTTTGCAGGGCAGCGTGTGGGGCTTTGTTCCTTAGTGGGATGTTATAAATATTATATACCAGAAACTATGTGTGTTATATTTACAATAATATGCTAATATTTATCATCTACGTTGAATAGTGTGTCTCTAGCCTAAACTAATAGAAAAATGCCAACACTACAGTGAAACATGGAGGGCATGAAGAAGGAGAAAAAGGACAAGACGCACTTAATTTTCTTTATTTTGTTCCTTTTGAACTGCTAATTTAGAATCTTAAAATTTTATTTTTGCACCTGTGCTATACTTAATTATGACTTATATCAAACACTCAGAGCTGGTAATTGATCCTGTAGGATTGAAAACTCTTTTCCATGGGCAGAGATCACAGCCAGTGTCTCTGGGGCTCTGTCCAGGGGGTTCCTGACCCCTGCCAGGGTCCCAGGGCAGCCAGAGGGAAGCTCTGGATTCCCACACCCAGACTTATTTTCCCTCCTGCTGAGGCTCCTCTGCCTGCCACGGGCACCGGGAGATTGAGGAATGGTGAGGATTTCTGAGGAATTGTGTCCCGTGCTTATCTGCACCGAGCTCTTAATTAGCCAGTTAATTACAGCGAGGTCCCCGGGCAGGGATGGAGCTGCAGCAGCAGGATCAGGGCTGGGCCATCCGAGGGGCTGCATCCACATTGTTGTAAAGAAATATTATAATATTGGCCTTCTGTGGAAACCCAGGGCACTGGGAATATTTCTCTGTCTGCTCTGGGGTGTCCTGACCCCCAGGGGAGCACTGATTTTTGACTTTCATTCATAGAGAAAACTTCCAAAGCCTCAAGGTAAACTAGAAACCACAAAAGCGTGAAATAGATTGTAAAAATTATAGATAGTAGTGTAGTATATCACATGAGTAAAAAATTTAAGTTTTAAGATTTTTTGTATAAGTTCAAAATAAAAAATATACAGTGTTGTCATAAGTGCCTTTTTTCTTCTTCCTCTTTTTTCATAAGTTTAAGGAATATCTTGTAATTAAGTAGAAAAATCCACATTACCAGTCTTTAAAGATCAGTTATTAAGTTAAAAAAATGGTTAAGTGTCACTTATTAATTAAATAATTTAGTTTTTAATTAAACTTAAAAATATTTATAACAAAAGATTGTTAGCCATTTTTATACTGTTTTTCATACACACAAAGTCTAATACAGACAGTGTGCTGAAGTTTTAATAAAATAACAATAAAGCAAAAACCTAAAGACCAAAAAAGCCCTTTACATCTAGTTTTCCTAGCAAAAAACTACTTCAAAAAAATTTTCCCCCTGTCAGGGCAGCCCTCAAAGAGTTACCCAACATAAAGCCCACAAAGTCACAGATAATACAATGGGTGTTATATCTATAATGTTAAAGTAACTTTGCTATAAAGATATAGTTTTTTTTTCTGTTAGGCACAGCAGTGGAATAACTGATAGAAGAATATTTGTGTTAAAATTCCTGCTTGGTTGAGATAACATTCCATGAACACATGAAGAGGACCCCTGCTGCTGATTTGCCAACTATCAAACCTGCCATCGGTAGAAAGTACAGACAAAGCCCAAACTGAAGGTGATAACAAGAACAGACTTAAAACCACAACCAAGAAATACTCTAAAAAGGCAGACCCGAGGAGGAGCCGTGCTAAACAATTCTTAGAACGTGTAAACTAGTTTGGGGAAAAGTTTTAATATGCATAATTGCTTATGAATATGTAACAGGCTGATGCAATAGGAATGGGATATAAAGGGTGTTTCCAAAATAGCAGGTGTGCTCCTGGCTGAATGCCAAGCACCCAGCCATAAATCTTTGCTTTATTGTCTTTTTCTCCTGTTGTCCTTTATTAAACTTTTACATTTTTACAGGAGAGTGAGCCTTGTTTTACACAAGATTAAAGCACCTCGTTAGGTGCTAGGAGTGTCACCACGCTGCCCTGGCTGGGGAGAGCCTCTCTGTGTGCACCAGGTGAAAAACAAAACCCTGTTAAAAAGCTTTTTTGTTCACAGCCAGTGCAACAGCAGAGCTGGGCAGACCCCAGGGCTGCAGATCCTCCCAGCAGATCCCAGGGCACAGCATCTCACCCCAAAACAAGCCAGCCACGGAGGGATTTACAAAATCCAACTTTATAAAGTAGAAAATTATTAAAACATAGCACTTCTATAAAATCTCAGCCAGGCTGACCCCAGGGCTGCAGATCCTCCCTGCGGATCCCGGAGCACAGCATCTCACCCCAAAACAAACCAGCCACGGAGGGATTTAGAAAATCCAACTTTATAAAATAGAAAATTATTAAAATATAGCACTTTTATAAAATCTCTGCCGTGCTGACCCCTCAGGCAGCCCAGGGATGCTCAGGAAGCTCACCCAGGGTGAGCTGTGCCCAGATGTCACCGGGGCTTGGTGACAGGTGTGGCACAGGCCTGGCCCCGAGGCTGGGCTGGTTTTTCCTCTTGGCTGAGCTGTGTTTGCCCACCCTGAGATAACAGAGCCCACAGCCCTACCCTGCCCCTTCCTGTCCCCTGCTGGGGATGCTGGAAGCCCCCCAAAGGTGTTTTGTAGAGATCCCAGGGTCGTTGAGGTTGGAAAAGAGCTCTGAGACCATCGAATCCAAGTGCTAACCCAGCATTGCCAAACCCAGCACCAAACCTTGTCCCCAAAGTGCCACTTCTGCAGCATCTTTGGGACACTTCAGGGATGGTGATTCCACCACGTCCCTGCACAGCCTGTTCCAATGCCTGACAACACTTTCAGTGAAGAGGTTTTCAATAATTTCCAACTTAAATCTCCCTTGGCACATCTTGAGGCCGTTTCCTCTTGTCCTGACACTTCTTACCTGACAGCAGGAGATGCTGCAGCCCCCGAGCCTCCCTTAGATTTAAACACTGCCCGAGCTGAGTGGGAACGACACTTCCTTTTGGCTCTGTGCCTCAGTTTCCCCATCCCCAGCAATGATATCTTCCTTTGGAACAAGGTGATGGGGGCAACCCCCTCCCTTGCAGGGCTGAAAGTGGCGACCCAAACCCCCTCCCTGGGATGGAGCCGGTCCCTGCCTGGGGCTGCCGTGCCCCGGGGCTCCCCGGGCCGGCTCCCCTGGCTCGGGGTGAGCTTTGGCAGCCAGCACGGGTCCTCTCGGCAGCTGCCGTGACAGACAGCTCCCGAGCCACCCCCCTCTGCAGTGCTGCTCGAAAATAAAAATACCTCCCGCCTGCTCCGCTCCACTCCCAGCCAAACTTCCTCCAGGGGCAAGGTGGGGGACGGCGGCCCAAAAATCCCCCCGCCCCCCCGCCCCAAGCCGGCCTGAGAGATGCTGTAGGGCAAATCAGCCCCCCCAAAGCCTCGCTAGTCACCCCCATTTCCCTTGCCCCCTCCTGTCCCCATCGCGCTGCCGGACGCTGGATCCGCGACCCTCGCCCGCCTCCCCCCGCGGCCCCGGGGCTCAAGGTCAGTAGCGGGGGGCGATGCGGGGCCGGGGGGGCGCAGGCTGCGGGTGGTGACACTCTGCTCCCGCACCTCCGGGGCTTTCTGTCACCTCTGCGTGTCCCCAGCGCCCGGCCGGGGTCCGGGAGGGGAGCGGGGGGGATGAGGATGGGGAGGATGGGGAGGATGGGGAGGATGGGGAGGATGGGGAGGATGGGGAGGATGCTGCTGCCCTGCGGCCGCTCGGAGCTGCGGGGGGCTCTGCTGGGACCCCCCGAACCTCGCCGGGAGCGATCAGGAGTTAAAAGTGTCCCAGGGGTCCCCGCCAGGGTTGGTCACCGCCTGCCGCCCGCTCCCTCGCCAAAGGAATAAAAATAAATAAATAAATAAATAAAAAGAAGCGTTGGAAAGCGTGGAAAGGAGGGAGAAAAGCTTTTTACAGGCACCCCCGTGCGCGCCCTGCCGCCGCAGGGGCACCGCAGCGCGGTGGCAGCGGCCCCGCATCGGCAGCGACCGCGGGGCGACCCCGAAATTCCACCCGGATGAACCCGAAATTCTCCCAGTATGAACCCGAAATTCCATCCAGGATGAACCCGAAATTCCACTAGGGTTGAACCCAAAATTCCCCCCGGATGAACCCGAAATTCTCCCCGGGATGAACCCGAAATCCCCCCCGCCCCGGGATGGACCCGAAATTCCATCCAGGATGAACCCGAAAATCCATCCGGGATGAACCCGAAATTCTCCCCGGGATGAGCCCGAAATTCTTCCCGGGATGAACCCGAAATTCCCCCCAGATGATCACGAAATTCCATCCAGGATGAACCCATATTTCCCACTGGGATGAACCCGAAATTCCCCCCGGGAAAGGCGTTTGGTGCACGCCGGGGTTGGGGGGAGATGGGGTCACCCCTCATCGCTGCCAAGTTGCTACTCCACCCCCCACTTAAAAACCTCGGCGGCCGACCAAAAAAAAAAACCAACAAAAAAAAAACGCTTAAAATGAAAACGGTAATTTGAATATTATTTTAATTTCTAAATGGAGTGATTTTAATAACTGCAGAAGCTTTGCAACGCGGATGGCCAGAGCGGAGGGTGACGGGGCGACTTTTTATGCTTTAATCCCTTCCGCGCTCTCAGGGATGGTGGCGGGTGGCGGTGCCAGCACCGGGGGTGTCCCTGTCCCTGTCCCCTGTCCCCGTTCCCTGTCCCCTGTCCCCGCATCCCTCCGGCTCCATCCCTGATTCGCCTCTTGGCAGCTGCCGGCCGCTCAGCCGGGGAGGCTGCGGAGCACGTCGCGCCGAGGTTAATTAACCTCTGCAGGAGTAATTAGCCCTAGGGCTAATTGTGGGGCTGGGTGTCACCGTCCTCCGAGCGCTGCTGATGCCCCGGCGGGGCTCAGCCGTGTCTGGCAGGGGAAATTTGGGATCACGGAGCCCCTCCAGGAGCAGGAGGTTGGGCAAGGGGCTGAGAGGGAGGTGGAGAAACCCATCACCAGGGGTGTCTCCGTGCTCTGTCCTGGATCCCATCCACGGATCCAGCCAGGATTTACAGGTGGGGACATCAGAGACAGAGGAAGCCCATCCTGGAGCAGCTCTGAACATCGGGAGAGATGGGAGGAGCCGCCCATCAGGAACACCTGGCCCCAAATCCTGGGCTTTGCAGGCACCTCTGCGCACCTGAGTTGTGCCCCGGGGCTCAGCCCCAGGTGTGAGCCTCTTCTCCTTCCCTCCAGCCTTCAGGGAAGCCACAAAGCAGAGCTGGCAGAAGGGATTGAGGGTGTTTGGGGAAGAGGAGGGCAGCCGAGCTCTCATCCCCGGTTCTCCTCCCTCTCCTCTCTCCCTTTCCCAGGTGTGGATCCCTCTCCCGTGCCGGCCGGGGCTGTGACCTCCCACCATGGGGGTTAAGGCGATGCTCCCCAGCTACGAGCTGGGGTTTTACGCCCTCGTGGTGACCTGTGCCGTGCTCTACAGCGGCAGCGGCATCTTCGAGGCATCCCGAGGTAACCGCTTCCCTGGGAGGGTGGTGGGTATCGGGTGCCTGCTTTTACAGCTGTCGATTCCAGCGGCTGATCCCCGGCTTCAACTTTTGCAGAGGACAGCTTGGAAATCTTTTTTTATAAAGGGATTTTTTGCCTGGTTGTCTCTTTGTCTCTATTTCCACTGCTCAGGGCAAGAGGCTGTGGGATGTCACAGGTCCCCAGGTAGTGCCACACCAGGCAACCACCACCACCCTGCCCACGCAGGGCTGATTCCCTTTTTTGTTTGGTTGGTTTGGGGGGTTTGTGGGGGTTTTTTGGGGTTTTGTTTTTGACTTTTTTTTTGTTTGCTTTTTGTTTGTTTTGTTGTTGTTGGATTTTTTAGGGGTTTTTTTTGTTGGTTTGGTGTTTTTTGTTTTGTTTTTTGGCTTTTTTTTTTGGTTGGTTGGTTGGTTTTGTCTTTGTTTGGAAGCCCACAAACCCAAAAACTTTATGGGATCAGACAGGGAATGTGTAATGAGAAAAAGGCTTTGCTGAAAATTCCTGCAGAAACCTGCTGTCACCAACTCTCCTGTTTGTCCATGGCAATCAGGCACTTTTGGGATGGGGTATTCGAGCCCTGAGGGCTCATTATCAAAATGATGAAGGTTCTGGGCCTGGCTTGAGCCTGGATCCTGTTTCCCAGAGATGTTTCTCTCCCTGTAACTCTGGTTCTTTTGCAGACAGCATGAACAGAAAGGCCTTTCGGGATGGCATAAAGCCAGGCTGGCACTACTTCGGCAGGAAGATGGTGAGTGAGGAAGGGCTTGGGCTTTTCTAGCTACAGACAACCTGGTCAGTGGAGAAACAGAGCTGGTTTTTCTGCTACTGAGACACATTTGCAAAGTCCACCTGACTTGTATTTTCCTCCCTAAAGAAGTGGGGAAAACACCAGCCCTGCTGATGCCTTGTGCAGGCTGACCTAGAACAGAAAATAGACAGAGCTAAGGAATAAAGCAGGGATTTATTCAAAGGATCTCCTCCATGGATCCACCTTGGGCAGCACCAGAGCCCAGCCAGGGCTGCACCCAAATGACCCAAAATGGTCCCAAAATGCACGAGCGCTCCCGGGGCTCTCCCTGGGATCAGTTCTGCTCCATTGGCACCTTGGAGTTCATTGTCCCATTCCAGCTCCAGCCCAGGCAGTCCCATCCTGCTTGTTTTTCTCTCTCCAGCCCACGGTGTTTGTGCTCCTGGGCTGAGGTTTGGATCATTTGTCCTTGGTGCCCAGCTGGAGCAGGAATTGTTTTGTGTCCCTGCTCTGTGCAGAGAGCTCACATCCCCTCATATGGAGCCCAGACCCACACACTGAAGCAGCACAGAATGTGAAAATATAAAATCTGAAACCTGAGGCATCACTGTGGGGCTGTGGATGCTTCACTTCATGTACTCTGGGACAAGCGACCTCTGCGCATCCCTCCTGGGGTTTTATATCTGATCTAAAGTGCTCGGGAGCCCTTGGGTGGAAAATGGGAAGAAAAAGCTCTAAAAGTTGTGGGGCTGGGGGCAGTAAAGTGCCTGGTGCTGCTCCTGCAGGACGTGGCTGATTTTGAGTGGGTGATGTGGTTCACCTCGTTCAGGAACATCATCATCTTCGCCCTCTCAGGACACGTCCTCTTTGGCAAGATCTGCTCCATGACCGTGCCACAGGTGAGCAGGGGGGTGCTGGCGTGGATTTGAGAGCACCAGGGGTGGCCTGGGATCTGTGGAAGGGGTTTTGGGGTCTTGGGGGATGTTCTGGGCTGACCCAGCTGCTCTCTCCCCAGCACCGGGCTGTGATGTACATGATCTACGGGGTCCTGGCTGTGCTGGGCAGCATGGGGCTGGTCTACCTGATGATCATCCTCTCCCACTGCCTGCTCCTCTACTCGGTGGCCCTGGCCAAGCAGAAGTGGCTCTGCTACGTGGCTGGGCTCTGCTGCCTCGCCTCCTTCAAGGTGGAGCCCTTTGGCTCGTGGCAGGTGGGTGCTGTCCTGGCCTTGTTTCTGCCTTGTTTCCAAGCCCACTGGTGTCCATCACCTCGGGGTTATCCTCAGGGAGGGCTCCTGGGGCAGCCCCAGGCCCTGGCCATTTTCTCCTGGCTGCATCAGAGCTCTCACAGCATGTTAGAGGGAAGGGGATGTTGAGGTGTGAGCTTGGGAATAATCCCACAGTGCTTATGTCATGCTTTGGTGGCTTCATGCTGTTCTAGAACAAAAGATATCTGAGTCCTTCTTGCTGCCCAGGCAGCAATTTGTCAGCCTGTTGATGCCCTGTGCCTCAGTTTCCCCAGCTATAACACTGATTCAGGGATGCCCATCTCTTAGGCCACCGCCTAGCTAAGATTTTATCTCATTGGTGGGTGGAGAGGAGCCCAGGAAAGAATTTATCAAAATATTCAGTCCCTCAGCAAGACATTGCTGTCTCTCCCTGCCTCCAAAGATGTGTTCCCTCCCTCTCCATCAACCCCGTGCTGGCTCTGCTTTACTCCATGGGGACACCTGTGACAGGGTGACATTGCGACCCAAACCAAAGCTGTGTGACCAACAGCTGCTTGGTGACGTGGCCAGGAGGATCTACCACTTCCTGGCTGCTCTGAGCTGCAGGAGCCAGCTGGGAAATCGAGCCCCAGTTTTCTCTTTCCAGCTCATTAACTTCAGAGACAATTCGTGTCAGGGCATAATTAGAGATTTTTCCTTGAACTGAAAACTAAACTGGCAGAGGTCAGGGTTAGAGGAGATGTTAGGAAAAAATTCCTCACTGTGAGGGTGGAAAAGGGGCCCTGGCACAGGTGCCCAGAGAAGCTGTGGCTGCCCTGGATCCCTGGCAGTGCCCAAGGCCAGGCTGGATGGGGTTGGAGGACCCTGGGATGGTGGAAGGTGTCTCTGCCATGGCAGGGGTGGGACTGGCTGGGCTTCAAATCCCCCCAGCCCACACAATTCCCTGCTGCCCCAGGAGTGGTGTCCCCCACAAAGCGAGGCAGCACAGCGGTGACACCATGTTCCTGGTGGTAACTCTCTGTTTCTTGCCCAGAGCGGGTTTGTGACGGGAGCCTTTGATCTCCAAGACGTCCTTTTCTACGGAGGATGCACCTTCACCATCATGCGCTGCATGAGCTTTGCCCTCGAGAGCTCCCAGAAGGAAGAGGGCATCTACTCCATCTTCGACCTCCTCAAGTACAACTTCTACCTCCCATTCTTCTTCTTCGGGCCTGTCATGACGTTTGACCAGTTCCACGCCCAGGTGAGTGATCCTGAGGCCGGGCTGGAGCAGGATTTCTCCCAGAATTTATTTACTTGTGGTCAGTGTCTACAAAAACCCCAAGTTTTGCCGCAGCGAAGATGCAAAAATGATTGTAAAACTTCTTGTGGTCACCTCTAGTCTGTGGCTGTGGATTTGTGTGGGGAAGGGCACAAAGTGATGGATTTTTACCTTATTTTTTGGTTTTCTTTTGCTATTTCACTGACCAATTCACAATGGAAGATCTTGCTGTGATGTCCTTGCTCCCCAGGCATCTGCACTGCTTGGTGCCTCAGTTTCCTCATGTTGTCACTCCAGCACCTTCATGGTTAGGGCCACACATGTAGAGCCCACCCATGGGACCTCTGCATGCTGTGACAGCAAGGACATTTCTGTCTCTCGTTTCCATCCAGCTGCTTCACCCAGGGAGCTTCCAGGGATGGCTCGTGTGTCTTTAGATCAAGTTATTTCTCAGGAAACAAATAAGATTGGGTGGAAGGCTGAGCTCCAGCAATCAGGGGCTCCATGAAATTGCCTGATGTGCCAAGTCTTTTCCTGTTCCACACAACCAAGGGAGCTTTTGGATGAGCAGACTTCAAACAGAACTGGAAAACATCAGCAGAAGCCTGGGCTGGGACCTCTGGAGCAGCTCCACACTCCAAGATCAAGGAAACCAGCAGTGCTGTGTCCCCCCTCACTCTTCCCATCTCAACCTCCTTCTGCACCAAGAGTCAGCCTTGGCCACCAAAGCAAACTGGTGATGCTGGCAAAGGGGGGTGTTTGGTCAGCAGTGATGCTGTGGAGGATTCTCACCATCACCCCTGGGTCCTTTTGCAAAAGAACAGCTACACTGAGATTTTGGACCCAAATTAATGCCTGGGTACAAGAATGATTTGGAAAAACATTTGTGGATTCAGAAGAAAAACCAGCCCAGGGCAGGGGAGAGCAGCCAGAGTCTCATGGTGAGGAGAAGACCAAAGGCCCAGCAACATCTGTCACACATGGGGCTGGTTCTGGTTGCCTAAGAAAGGGTTTGCACTGGGGTGTTTCCCCCAGAATGAGCCATGATCCCAGTCCTTCTCCGTGCCTGCTCTTCACTTGTGGAATTCACAACTTCATGATGTCTCTTAAAAGGAACTAGAGCCCTCGGGTCTTACTGAGTGCATTAAAAGTGATTTTTAGAGCATTGGACCCTGAAGATCATAAGTCAGCTCTGGTGTCCCCGTCAAGGATGCAGCCAGGTACCTACAAATGTGGACATGAAACTCCTCACCTGAACTCCCACTGCTCCTGCAGAGCTGCATCCAGGGGGAGTTTTATTTCCTGCTCCTTGGCACAACCCCAAACCAGGATGTCTAAAGCCACTTAATGAGCAGTTCCCCTCTCTTCTGCTTCAAACCCCAAAGGCACAAGGATTAAGCCCCCAGCCCCGTCCTCCTGCCCTGGCCAGGGGTCCTGGCTTGGCTTGGCCACCACTGCCATCTCCTGGCTACATCCCCCCTGCGTGCTGGAGCTGAGGCTGGCTGCTGAGGTGAATTCTTTATTGCCCAAGAGCAATTAGGGCAGGATGCAGACAGAGCCCTTCCCCCGGGTGGGATGTGTGGCCCTGTTAGAGATCAGATCTGTCCCTTTGAATCCTACTGGTCCTACATCCTGGTGGAGCTCTTGCATCCCTCTGTGAGGTGGAAACTCATCTGTACCAGGGCTTGGCCAGCCAAATTTGGGTGGAGAAGCACCTTTCTTACTGAGATCAAGGGAGAGATCCCCTTCTCTAGGGTTGGGAGTGTTGGTGACACAGCCCTGATCCCAAGGGGGTGGTGGCCAAGTGCTGGCACCACACAGAGATGGGAGGGTGAGAGGAAACCACCTTGAGTTGCACCAGGGGAGATTTAGACAGGATAATAGGAATAATTTCTTCAAGGAAATGGTTGTTAAGCATTGGAACAGGCTCTCCAGGGCAGAGTCACCAGCCCTAGAGGTATTTTAAAGATGTGTAGATGTGGCACTTGGGGACAGGGTTGAGTGATGGCCTTGGCAGTGCTGGGTTAATGGTTGGACTCAATGACCTTCATGGATTTTTCCAGCCTAAACCATTCTGTGATTCCATGGAAGGAGGGTTCTGTGTCCCCTCACACGTCTCCATGCCAGACCCTGTCCTCCCTCAGCTCAGGGTCCAGCGACCTCTTTGTATCCTCGAAGCACCTGGTACTTAACAGGCACAAAAAAAAAAAAAAATGTGGCAAAGGCTTTAATTCTCAGGAATCATCTGGATTTGACAACAGGGCTGGTGCAGCAGCCTGTGGATTATGCCGGGAGAGCTCCCACCTCTCACAGGGAATAAAGGGGAAGTAATAAACATAAGAGGATTTTGAACGCAGCAGCAATTTTACGGCGATGCGGGGAAGCAAGGACATCGCTCTGCCCCGTGTAATCCTGAGAGCTCACTCTGGTCATGCTTATATGACAACGAGCAGAGATGTGACAGCTCCTGGAGGCAAACCCCAGACCCTGTTTGTGCAGGACACAGCAGAGATGAAATCCCCATCAATCAGGTCTCACCAATTCAGGATGGCCCCCCGAGCAAGTCTCCCTCTCGTTTGCAGCAGGAGTCTGCAGCAGAAGCCTCAGACATCATCAGTTCTCCTCTTCCTCCCAGATGACCCTGGACGAAAATATACCAGGCCCTGGCAAGGCTGTCAGGTTGGGATTCCAACCCTGGAATCCATCCTGGAGATGTGATGGGTGCAAGAATTTGATCCCTTTTAGTGTCTTTTGGAAAGGGCTGTCCTTAAGCAAAGTTGATTTTCTGAGCACATCGCTGCAGAAGGAACATGAAATTCTGGGAGCTCCCTGGTCAGAGGGGATTTCACCCCACCTGGAGTCCCTGAGTACAGCCAGGCCTTTGTCTGACCACATGCCTGCTCTGCTGGGAACAGCAGGGTGATGCAGTAGGGACATCCCTGCTGTCTTCAGCACTGCTGTGGGTGGGACATGTCCTGTTCCTTGTGGATGTGCTCACCTGAGCCAGCCCTTGGGCCTTCCTAAATCAGTGGCAATTTGGGCCACATAGTCCATGGAGTGGCCTCTAAAGGAGAATGATGAATCAATCCCTACCTGGACCTTGACCACCCTTCTGGATGAGGGAACAACGCCCATCCTGTCCCTTGGCTCAGTCCCGCCCTGGTTTGTCCCTCCCTGCAGGTGAGCACCCGAGAGCTGAGGCGCAAGGACGACGAGATGAAGAGCATTCGTGTCAATGCCCTGCTCCACGTGGGGGCCATCGTGGCTGTGGACATCTTCTTCCACTTCTTCTACATCCTCACCCTCCCTTCTGACCTCAAGTTCGTGAACCGCCTCTCGGACTGGTCCTTGGGTGAGTGGCCGTGCTTGGGCACGTTCACCCCTGTACTCAGCTCCAAGGCAGTGGTGAGTGATCCAGATCTCCATCCACCCCTCTTGAGAGGCTTTGGGAATGCCTGTGTTGGACAGGTTTGAGTAAAAACCCCTCTTCCTCACGCTGGCCACACACAGAGCTGGGGTTGGGCAGCCCTGGAAAGCACCTGGTGCTGGTCTGACCTTTCCACAGTGTAAGTTGTTTTGTTTGGGGTTTAGGAAGTTGAGCATCAAGATATTTTTGTTGCCTTTGGACTGGAAGGGAGCTCAGCATCTGTAAAAGTTCAGCAGGACACAGCAAACCACACCCAGCAATGCAAAGCCTGATTGCATGTAAGGAGAGTTGTCCACAGAGCAGTCAAACACTTGGAGAAGTGCCCACAGAGGTTATGGATTGTCCCAAAAGAGTCTATTCAACACCTAAATGGGTAATGTCCGGGGCAATGTAATCTCTGCCTAAAGGTGGCTGTTCTCCAAGCATGGCTGGGCTAGAGACCTCCAGAAGGCAAATTCCCAGGATAAGTGATGAAGCAGCACTAGCATTCAGCTGGCAGCTGGATGGGAGGGTTCCAGATTATCAAATCCATGTCTGATGGCAGCACTTCACACACCAGCACGCAGCAGAGGCCAAGCAGGAGCTGGAGGAGCCTCATGTCTCTCCAGACTGGCAGCTTGAGGCCAGGATAAAATCCTAATGCAGCTGGAGTGGCACTAACATGGATTTAGGGTGTCCCAAGAGCCTTGGCTAGATGGATCCTGTGTCACTCCAGAGGGAGCTGAGCTCTTCTGGCTGTGCTGACCACACTGGGAGCATCCCTTAATCTGGGAGCTGGATCCCATCAAGATGGGGAATTTTAGCAGCTGTTTGCAGAAGTGCTTGAAATCTTTAGTAGCTGTCCTTGTGGGGTTTGTTTCCCAGTGTCAGACACCTCTTTAAGTCAGAGGTTCTGACCCTGGCTCTGCTGTAGTATGGATGCTGCATCCATGGCCAGAGGGAGCTGGGGTGGGGGGAATTTTGATGGAGGTGCCAACAAAACCTCAGAAGGCAGAACTGCTTAGCAAGCCTCAGAGGGAAGGCACAATGATGGAATAAATGACTATACAAACATAATTTCTTGGACGATTAAGGCCAGCAAGCAGTTTGCTCCCCAATACCCTGAGAAGAAACTGTCCTTTGGTTCAAGCCTCTTAAAAAAACTTAGTTTTAAAAGATTTGCTCTGCAGAAATCCTGATGCATTCCGTGTTCCTTTTTCCCCGTTTGACTCCCATTTTTGCTCCAGCTGGCCTGGCCTACTCCAATCTGGTCTATGACTGGGTGAAAGCTGCTGTCATGTTTGGGGTCATCAACACCATTGCCAGACTGGACCACCTGGACCCACCCCAGCCCCCAAAATGCATCACCATGCTCTACATCTTTGCCGAAACGTGAGTACCCCGCGAGCGTGAATGATGAGTGTTGGAGCTGGACAGGACCTGTGGGCAGGGGAGGACACCTGGGCAGCTGGTCTGTGAGTTGGAGGCCACCTGAAACCATAGTCTAGATCTGGCCAGAACCCAGGGAAATATTCTTAGGTGGGGAGAAATAGATAAAGAGAAAAGCTAAACCGTGTCTCTAGTGGCATCTGTCCAAGGAAGGAGCCTGGAGGATTTCTGTGAGCAAGGTCCAAGGTGTGCCTTGCCAGGGGATTGGGTGTTTTCTCTGTTTCAACAGGTTTTTATTGTCATTGTGTGTTTTAACATGCTCTTATCATCTCACTTTTAGGCATTTTGACAGAGGGATTAATGACTGGCTGTGCAAGTAAGTGTCCAGTCGACCCCCTCTAGTCTGGCTCAGGGTTTTCCCTTCCATCCCAGAGCAATGAAGGATCACATGCTGTTCATCCCAAGGCTGGGGTGTCCTCTTTTCTGGATAAATCCCATTATTTGCTCTGTTTAGAACCCATTGAATTAATTATACAAAGAGCAGCCCCCTCCTCCAAATCTGTGAATCAAAGAGTGCTTTCCCAAAATCCCTTAAAGTCTGGTTAAGTTTAGGGCTCCCTCAGAGGAGGAAGAGCCAGCTTTACATTTCTCCAGGAGGAAAGGGGAACTGAGTACTGTAGCTCCATCTGCATCTTCCTCCGCCCTTCTGCTCCCTTCATGCATGAGTTCACACCAACAAACCTCTGCTGAGGGGGTGGAGGCTGCTTTGTGATAAAATCCTGAGCATCAGCAACAGCCTCCAGCTCTAGAGACCCCAAGCTTTACCTGCCAGAGGGGGAAAGGTGGATATTTTTTCCTTGACAATTTATAAGTTTGTAGGAACAAAATCCCAAGTGGTTGGGCCACAGCAAAAATCAGTTTATTGCCAGAACATCCTTCCTGTTTTACTGGGATGCTCTGGGCTGATCTGTCTGTGAGGAGCTTGGGAAAAGAAACCCCAGAGGGGTCTCCTGGACTACAGGGAGCACCTAAAATCTCCCCTGGCTTTTAGGTACGTGTATGACCACATTGGAGAGAACCACGACAACATCCTGAAGGAGCTGGTGGCCAGCATCACCACCTTTGCCATCACCACGCTGTGGCTGGGGCCCTGCCAGGTCGTTTACATCTGGTCCCTCGTCAACTGCTTCGGCCTCAACTTCGAGCTCTGGGTGCAGAAGTTCTTCCAGCTGGGGCCCTTTGCCAAGCTGGAGGTGAGGAGCTGGGCTGCAGAGGCGGTGGGGAGAGGTCAAGGGGGCTGGGGACAAGCTCTGGTGCTGGGAAATTCCTGTGCCTGGAGGGAGCTCACGCTGGTTTGTAGGAGTCGGAGTTTTGGCTGAGGCGGAGTGTCGATGTCTGATGTTCTGTCCAGCTGGTGTTCTGATGGTCCTGGCTCGGGTCTTTTGGGCTTGTGCCCACTTGGGCTCGTGCCAGCCCACCCAGTGGGATGCCAGTTGTAGATTTCTCTCGGGGTTCTGAAGGTCTGGGTGACCCCAAGAGATCATAAAGGGTCTTTGCTTCCCTAGCCTCACGCAGCCGAAGAAGGAGCCTGGACTTCGTCCAATTTCATTTTCAAGGCTGTTTATTTCTTCTTATCTATAACATTCTTTCTCTGACCTGCCGAGCTCTGGCTAGCAAGGAGGCCATGGCATTCTGCCCTCAAGCCTCGAGGAGCTCCCACCTTATATACTCAAAACTACGTGTGTATGTTTACAATTTCTTTACCAAGTCCCATCACCCTTGTTAGACTGTGAATCTCTACTTAAACCAATAGAAAACTGCCACCATCACACCAAGACATGGAGGACAAGACAAAGAAAAAGAAGGCTAGGACATGCCCAAATCCCTCCATCTTGACCCCTTGAATTATATTCTAAAAACCCCAAAATTCTACTTTTTCACCCTGTGTTAATTCAGCTACCACACTACACAAACCCTTGTGGCTTGTAATTCCTCATACAAAATTGACAGCTTTCTCCACGGGCTAAAATCGAAGCCACAGATGTTTCTGACTTCATGCCAAGGTTTCTGAGCCCCCTGCCAGGGTCTGGAGACAGCCAGGGCAGCCAGAGGGATGTGCTGAAGATCAGAACCCCTGAGGATGCCCTGGGGGCTCCTTGGCCTGGAGACCTGAAGGTCTTTCCTGTGTCCTTCAGAATCATGGAATCAGGAAGGCTGGAAAGGACCAGCAAGTCCAGCTGTCTAGCCAGCACCACCACCGTGTCCACCACTAAACTAATCCTTAAGTGCTGTATCCACACAGGTTTTTTTTAACTTTTCCAGGGATAGTGACATCCCTGGATGATCCTTGGGATCAGCTACTGAGCTGTGCAAGGGCAGCACAGTCCTGGCTCTCCGTGTCCCTTCATTTCATGCACTTTGTCGCCCACCCAGAGCAAACAAACTCCTGCCCCTGCGCTGCTCTGCAGGGAATTTAGGTTGGGGTGGAAATTCCAGAGGGAAAACACAGGTCCAAGAGAAGCAGGAATGCGTCTCCAATGAGGCAACAAAGTGCCACAGATGGACACAAATCATGAGGTCTGTCCTTGGGAATACGTCTGCGAATATGGGGAATATTCTGTGGGGAATATCCAGATTCTAAGATCCTATGGGGAAATGTTTCTGTATTTCCTTATGGGATTAATTTGTTCTTCTTGTTCCACAGAGCATCTTGGCATTCTCAGTGGTTTTGATCTGATTTCGTTTAAAAGCAAGAATTTGTATGTTAGAACAAATTCTTTTAAAAACACTCCAAAGCTTTGTGCCCTGTCTTTTTTTGGGACCAAGGTATCTCAGGGACATACTGGGAAAAAAAAAATCCTTTAAAACTTCCACTCTGGAAACAATTATGTTCCTGTTGGAATCCGAAATGCACCAAATTTCAGCTTAGAATTAAACACAAGATTTCATCTAAAACCTTTTAAAAATCTTCCAACCTTAAATACTAAAACCAAACATATACATTTATAATTTAAAACAAAACCATGTTAAGCTAAATTTTAAAAATTTAAAGTTTTAAATTATAAAAAATTAAAATTACTACAAAAATAAATAAAAAAATAAAGTACAAAGCTATAAATTCATCTATCATAACATAATTAACTTGAAAAGACTTACACTATAATTATAAATCCATAAAAAAATATTTTAAAATTAAATCAAAAATATAAATATTCTTATTAACAATATTTGATTAATTAAAACCTCCTTAAAAAATCTTACAACTAAAAATCTTGTAACCTTCTAAATCGTACTATTAGAATATAAAACAAATTCACCCTTCCTACCTATAAAAAATTAAATATAAATATAAAAATATTAAAAATATATTTTAAAAAATCAGCAAAATATAAAAATAATATAATATAAATAAATAGAAATAAAATATAAATATATATTATCTATCATAAATATAAATATAAATATAAATATAAATATAAATATAAATATAAATATAAATATAAATATAAATATAAATATAAACCACATATGAAAATATTAAAAAATTAACCACGTCATCAAAAACAATTCAAAAATAACATCTCAAATTCCTTCCAAAATTCCCCACAATAAATTATCACATGTTCTTTATTTCCCAGTTTAAATTCTGGAGGTCCTAAATTACTTAAAGATTTATTTTGAATAAAAACCACGGAGAGCAATGCTCTCCCTGTTGAACTCCTAATCAGATTAAGGCTCTCACAGGCAGGGAAATTTCCTTCCCTGCGGCACCACAATGCCCAGCACTGAGCAGCCTGGGGGCTCACCTCTCTTTGAAGGCTGCTTTAAACTCCTTAAACGCCTTCCCTGCTCCACTCACAGCAGCTGATCCCAGAGATTATGTGCCACTGACAATTCCACTCTGCTGCTGTCATTGGTTTTTGAGCTTCTTTTTTTTTTTTTTTTTTTTTTTTTTTTTTTTTTTTTTTTTATTTTTTTTTTTTTTTAATTCCTAAGTAACTATTTTTACCAGCAGCCAGGAGCGATTTGCATGTAGGGCTAATAATAATCCTGGGATACAACAGATTCTTCTGCCTCGAGGAGTGGCTTACCCAAGGCAAGAGGTGGAGAAAGCAGGACTCAACCATTTCATTTTAAAGAGGATCTGAGAAAGATGATTGAGAAGGATTTGTGACAAGGATGTGGAGGGACAGGACAAGGAGTAATGGATTTAAACTGACAGAGGGCAGGGTTAGATGGTGTCATGGGAAGGAATTCTTCTCTGTGAGGGTGGGGAGGCCCTGGCACAGGTGCTCAGAGAAGCTGTGGCTGCCCTGGATCCCTGGAAGTGTCCAAAGCCAGGTTGGATGGGGCTTGGAGCAACCTGGGACAGTGAGAAGTGTCCCTGCCCAAGGCGTGGAATGGATGATCCTTAAGATCCCTTCCAACCCAAACCCTTCCACGTGTCTGAAATTCTACAATTATCAGGAAGCTGTGTCTAATATCCTGCCTCTACCCATGGGACCCAGCCCGGAGTCCCTAAAGCAGCAGGGCAGTTTTGCCTTGTCCTTTTATTTCTTCATTCCAGAAGCACCAAAAGCTGCTCTGACTGGGGTTGCACCACTCACCCCCATTTTCCTCACAGACCCTTTTTCCCTCTGCTCCTCTCTCCTCCACAGGCCAAGCTGTCAGGGGCCATGTCTCGGCGGATCAGGGCAGCTTTTGGGGCAGTGAACTTCTGGGCCATCGTCCTCTACAACATCCTGGCCCTCAACAGCCTGGAGTTTGCACTGCTGGTGACCAAGAGACTCCTGGTGATGGGTAAGGTTCTGCCAGCCTTCCCCACCGAGACACCCCTGTCTTCTATGGGAGCTGAGGACTGGGATTTGGAATCCTTTTGGCTCCAAACTGGTCACTGGCTGGTGAATTGGCTGCTCCAGATGTCCTAAATTCTTCTGCAAAACGTGCAGGCGGTGGTTTCTTAGCTCCCCCAGCTCCTCGCTGGGTGTTCTGGGGTACCAGCTGCCTTGCAGGTGTGCTTGTACAGCTCCTGGCACAGCCTGACCCTGGTTTAGCCTCCCTGGAGCTCTGCAGAGGTCACGTTCACCTCACCAGGCAGGGCTGAGTCCCCGTGCTGGAGAAAGGGATTGACTCCTCCTGCCTCATTCCCTCTGCTCCAGCAGATGTTCCTGCATCATCCCGAAGGTGACAGGTACAAATCCTCACCCTGCAGGCTGTACCTTTCTGATCAGTGGATTGTGGCACTGTTTTGGAGCCTCCCTGAGCTGCCCAGGGTATAAATAGGCTTCGGGACCAGGGTCCTGCAGCCCTCTCCGGGATGGATAATGTCACGCTCGGTGTGCCAGGAGTGCCTGCCCGCTGAGCTCGCTGGCTTTTGCTGGTTGCATTATTCATTGCAGAGCTCCTGTTTTAGCAGGAACAAACCCTGGATCCACCCCTCTGCTGTGGATACCAGATTTGTGATTGCCAACACCTTCCGAAGAGGAGGGGGAGCTCAGGGCTCTGTCACTGACGTAGGTGACAAAAATATTTATTTTCCTGGGTGGACACTGTGTCCCCAGTGAGTGCAGGACAAGGCTGGGCTTGATCCTCAGCATCAGTGGGGCTTCCAGAAGGTCACAGTGTTGAGCAGTGATAAATGTGGGCAGGTTCAATGGGCACAAAGACAACCACGATTTCTAAAGAAGGATTTTCAGGGGTAAGAGGGGCTCAAAACCCCTTCAGCATTAGCTCCAGTCCACTGTGCCTTGGTGGGCTCAGGCACAGCTCCACCTAAAATCCAATCCTGAGGATTTCCCTCTTCTCTCGGTGAAGCTGCAGGGCAGGGTCTGTGATGAAAAACATCACTGGCCACCGTGATCTTGTGGGACCTCCCAAACCCACCTGAGAGGCGGCTGTGCTGGTGAACATCTGGCTTTGTCGGGCAAGCAGCCACATCTGGGTGACCACATCTCCCTCCCTGCTCTAGGTTTTCCTGAGAGCACCTTGTCCATCTGGTTCATCACCTACTGCGGCGTGCAGCTGATCAAGGAGCGCGAGCGCATCCTGGCCATCCAGGAGGAGGAGAAGGGGGACAAGGCAAAGGTGGAGTAGGGGAGGCACCACAGGCTTGTCCTGAAGCCTTGGTCTCCCTTCCAGCCACTGCTGCCAGGCCAGCCACTGGCCAGGGCTCTCCAAGCCCTCCTGACAATCGGACTGCTGTAGCTCATCCACGTAGAAGTCACCTGGAAGGCACAGGTCACCCCCTTGCTGCAGGAAAGATTTTCCATCAGGCACAGTGGGTGTTTCACAATCTCCCCAGGTGTGGCAGGATGCTGAGGCAGCTCCCAGGATATTTCTTCCATGCCAGAGCCATCCCTGTTGTTTTTCTGGCCCTCTGACAGTGCAGGCCCAGAGATTTCAGCCCCTGCTTGGTGCACGAGCACTGGGCTCCCCCTCAGCCTCCCAGAGGAGACTCTCCAGGCCCCGTGGCTCGAGGTTTTAGGGCCCTGCACTGCTGGATCCGAGACTGATGTGGCCTCCACGACCACCCTGCTGTGACACACGTGTCCTGGGACTCAAGCCAAATCCCACCTCATTTTTTTTTACATGCTGTGGACAAAGGTCTAAGCTCACATTCCTGCCCATGGCTGAGGGACAGAAGGTGCTGTAGCCACCCCTTGCTCATCTCCAGCCACCCATCCCTTTCCTCAGCTGCCCACAGCTGTAGGGCTGAGCGAGCACACGGCTGAATGCGATCAAAGGAGAAAAACCCAAATCAAAGGAGAAAAATCCCTGAAGGGCAGGGATTGGGGCTGGGGGGTGGAGGGAAAGCCCATGGGAGACTCCTTGGAGAATTAAGACTTTGGGAGTGTGTGAAACACGGTGCCTTGGGGGAAAGGTGGGTTTGTGACACAGAAATAGCTCTCTCTTGCACTTTAGAGTAACTCTCAGTGGCCTTATCTCTGAGTTTTGTGGCTGTCTGGGGGTAGGATCCACACCCCTCTGCAACGGGGCTTGAGACGCTTGGTGCATCCCTGTGGGTGAAGCAGGATGGGTTCCTAGCCAGCTTTCAGCTCTGCCAAAGTAATTTGTGAAGTCCCTGGTAAATGTCTCTTATTTATGTAGCCAATAAATGTTGGATAACTCTGGCACCTGCTGCTCATCCCTGTTAATGTTGCTGGCAACACCTGGAGCTGAGAGGACAAGGATTTGTTTGCAGGTCCTCACCTGCCCCCCAAAAGAGTGACACAAGACATTTTTGACTTAATCAGACACCCACTTGGGTGTCATCACCAGACTGGAGTTTGGGCTGCAGCTGGATTCATATTCGCCTTTATTTTCTTTATTCACCTTTATTTTGACTCTACTTTCATATGCATCTGTAGTCTGTGGCCAGAAAACTGTCACCCATGTGGGTTTTGGGTTAGAAGCCAGGTTGGTTTTACTTTTGGGAGCCTGACCAACAGTGCTGGGAGTAAGGGGCAGGTATTGTGTGTGCCTTGGTGGTGCTGCTGTTGGACACAGAGTAAGTACACAAATGCTTGGTAAGTTCAAAGATCAAAAAAGAGAGCATTTTATTTGAGTATTTGATATTTATAGAATTCTGGAGGTGACTGTGGATTGGAGGATGGAATTACCACCTCTCCAACTACAGTGGTTAAACTAACAGTCTATCAATTCTCTTTTCCTACAAAGAAGAATATGAAACAATCATTTTTTATATGAACGGTGTGTGAGAACTTTAGTAGAAATATGTAAACATCAGAAGGTTGAAGAAGTTTTATGAGAACTTTAAAACTTTTTAAAGAACTATAAAAGAAAACTTAACACTTTTAAAAATCAGGGTTAACATTGGTGGCATCTTGTCACATCCCTTTTTGACACATCTGTCACTGCTGGACTTTTCATGGGTGTCTCTTGGCATCTCTATTATTTCAGATTTACTTTTTCCATCAAACCAGCTCTGCCGTGGTGTACTTCCTGCAGGGTTGAATTAATCCCTTGGCCCCCATGGGGATGTCCTTGCACAGGTGGCACCACCCTGGGGTGCTGGCACCACCCTGGGGTGCTGGCACCACCCTGGGGTGCCGGCCCCAAGGGCTCTGTCGCTGTGGAGGCTCAGCTCAGGTCTGTGCCTGCCTGGGAGGACAGAGTCACCTCCCAGTGCTGAAGTGGGTGACTCACATGGCAAAGCCCAGTGACTCTGCACTGCCCTCCTGACTTGGAGACTTCAGGAGAGAAAATAGCCCATTCATTAAGAGTCTATATTTACCCCGCAGATGCATCTGCTGAAGCTGCCAGAAGGAGCTAATCTTAGACACCAACCCAGCCAGTGATCTGTTAGAGACAGTTCATGGGAGAATTTGGGCTCTGCCCTCATTTTCCAGGAGTTATCCCTTCAGTTTTTGTTGCTCTGAGAAACCCTGGAGGTCTGGTGGGTCAGACTGTCTCAACCAGCTCAGTCTTGCACCGGACACCCTCAGCCTCACTGAATGCCTCTGTAGGATGGGATTTATCCACTGCTCATCTCTCTGGAGAAGAGCATCTCATCTGCTCTGGTTATTTCCTTACCCTTCATAAAACTTCCAAGAAGCCATGAAAAGCGATTTTTTTAGTGTAGTAACAAATGCCAGTTAATAGCCTTACACTGGACACTTTCTTGTTCAGCCTGGCATGGCTAAAATTCCTTTTTGTTGTAACATTTTGTATGGGTGGGAGTGATCCTGCAGCACTGCTTCCCTTTAGGATGCATCCATGTATCCTCACTGTTGTGGTTTAATGGTTTAATCCCACACGGTTTCTCTCTCACTCACTCCCCCTCACCCCATAAGGAGGAGGATCAGAATAAAAAAAGGTAAACAGGTAAATCTGTTGAGATAAAAACAGTTTAACAGTTGAAACAAAACATAGTGATTATGATAGTAATAATAATAATAATAATAATAATAATAATAATAATAATAATAATAATGACAAGGAGAGGAGAAAGAGCAACAGAACCCAAGACAAATAAATGATGCACAACACAATTGCTCATCACCCACTGGCTGATGCCCAGTCTGTCCCCAGCCAGCAAATTGTCTCCCTTCTGGGTAATTTCCACACTTGATATCCTGGAAATGGTGTTCTGTGCTATGGAATATCCCTCTGGCCAGCTCAGGTCAGCTCTCCTGGCCACGTTGCTTCCCAGCTTTTGGTGCAGCTCCTCACTGGCAGAGCGTGGGACATGGAAAATCCTTGACTCAGGGTGAGAATGACAGCAGGAACCGAAATATGGGTGAGTTATCAGCATTATCCTCATCCTAAATCAGGAAAAAAACACAGCAGTGTAGGAGTAAAATTAACTCTGCCAGACAAAACCAGGACCTTCACCCATACTCCTGGGGGAGTATTGCCCACTTGGGGACACATTTAATGACTGTGGGAGTGCACTGGTCATTGGAAATCCCCAGCTGTGGCCCTGTCAGATCTGGGGGACAGTGCACCCAGGCTTTTGGAAAACCTGGGCTGCTTCCCAAGCCTTGAAGCTGCTCCAGCTTCTGGGCAAAGCCACCTTGGAGTCCCCAGGGCAGGTCTGGGACCAGCACAGGACTTTTTCCCTGGGTGAGATGCCAGAGACCCACCAGGTCCCAGAGCTCCTCTGGGAAGAGCTGTAGCTGAATTTTAGCAGTGGCACCTCGTGGGGTGGGGGATAAGGAAGCAAAACTCAGATGGCAGCACAACAAAAAGGAAAACAAGGCAGGGCTCAAGGGAGATTAAAGGCAGAGGGAGGGGGGGAAATCCCAGCTGGTGGCACAACAGCACAGGATTAAACTTGGGGTGGCACAGAGCTGATGCAGAGGGGGCAGAGAGGGGAGGGTGGGGGCGTCCAGCCCCAGTTGTCAGGGAGGAAAGATTCCTGAAGTCCAACCCAGCACTCGGAGCTGGATCCCCTCACAGATGAGCAGCACAGAAGAGCTCATGATGTGAGCTCTGAAAACAGCTGGAGATTATTTCCCTGCTGTATTGGTACTTCCCAGATGCTGCTGGAACCACACCAGTACAGAAGGGCTTCATACTGGTATAGTTCCCTCCCTCTTCCCACTTTGAAATATCCATGGTGGCAATTTTTATAAACACATCCCTGCCAGGGTAAGGGGTTGTGTGGCTTTAAATGCACCAAGAATTATGGCTAATATTTTTTCATAGACTTAATTAAATCGTTAATTAAATCTGTGTCATCACTGAGTGTCAGACAGCCCAGAGGGTCCACAGCAAGAGATAAAACAGATTCATGCACAAGTTTTACCGTGGGTATAAATAATTATAGCTACTCTGCTCGGCCATGTCTGTCAAAACTAATTTGCTTCTTTGTGAGGTCCGTGGGAATAGCTGGACCTGGACTGGCCATTTGAGGGCCCAGGGGACTTCCTAGACATCCATGGGTAGGCAAGCAGGACACAAGAGCTGCTGGAGAGCTCAGCCACCCTGGAGCATCAGTTCCAGGCCAGGCAGGTTGTCCTGCTGTGGCTCTAGACTTCATCCAGAGGGGAGTGATGAACCAGAAGGCCTTTGTTAGAAGGTATTTGTGTTTAGATGTCTTAATCTGTGAGTTGAAGCCCACCATTGCATTTCCTTTATTTCTATTCTGCCTCAGGCACTCTCTCTGTCACCAGGCTCTGGAAAGGATGGATTTATTGGTGCCAAGGTGCCCAGAGATTGTGACACTGAGGCCCATTTGCACTCATGACAGAGTCACAGAATCAGTGAGGCTGGAAAAGAGCTCTGGGATTGACTCCGAGCTGTGGTTGAACCAGACCGTGGCCCTGAGTGACATGTCCAGTCTTTCCTTAATGCCTCCAGGGATGGTGACTCCACCACCTACTGCAGGGAAAAAGAGTCACCCCCCTCCCACGAATCTTAAATCCTCAGTTCCTCAAATATAATTATATTTGAAAAATATTTGAAAAAAATAATGAAAATATTTGAAAATATTTGAGAAATAATCCTCCTGCTTTAATGAGGATTTTAAAGGAACTTCCAGCACAGATCTCGTATCCCATAGAGGGCTGTAAATAAGCAGCTCTATCTCCATTTCCCACCTCTTTATAGTTCCCTGAAAAGTGACTCTAGAGGAGAATAAAGGACAAACCCTTGCAGCAAAGCAGGCCTGGGTGGGAGCTGGCGATGCCACAAAGCCCACACAAGACCCTCCCTTAGCACATCTTTCCAGCTTTGACTTCATGGCCTGTTTTTAGCACAGCTAAAGGTCCAGCACTTTCAGAGCATCAGGAGGAAGTCCCAGATTTGCCACCCATGACCCAAAAGGCAGATTGGGCTGTTAGATTCACTCTCCCCGAGCCCATGGGTCGCACGTGTCCCCCGTGGTGTCACAGCAGCCAAACCTGCTGCTCTCCCTGCCGTGACTCATGAGCTGACAGACCCTTCCTGAATTTCTGAGGCTGGAATTACAGCTGTTCCCCCAGTCCCCTCCCTTCCTCCCTGTCCAATGTGTCATATTAAAGGGTGATCGGCTTACACATGCTGCAGTATGGGTTCCTTAAGCTCTGCAGTGCTGTGTCTATATATAAAGCCCCGAGCTGGAAGCTGAAGTGCACAGACAGCTGGGATTGGAGCAAGCATTTCACATTCCTGGTGTGCCAGCGGTCTGGAAGCCCGCGAGGCTGTGAGCTCTGCTTTGAGCAAGTTTCTTTACTCAGGTTTAGGTAGAGCCACCGATATTTATCCATAAAAGAAGGATTGGGGCAAAGAACGAGCTCATCACCATGGGTTTGCCTCTTGATCAAGTGGAAGAATTGCGTCTCTACCAGCAAACTCTTCTCCAGGATGGACTCAAAGACATGTTGGACCACAATAAGTTTCTGGACTGTGTCTTGAAAGTGAAAGGGAAGGAGTTTCCCTGCCATCGGCTGGTGCTGGCAGCCTGCAGCCCGTATTTCCGGGCCATGTTCCTCTCAGACATGGAAGAGAGCAAGAAGAGGGAGGTCAGCTTGGAAGATGTCGACCCAGACGTCATGGGCAAGATCCTCCATTACATCTACACCTCCGAGCTGGAGATCACCGAGCAGAACGTGCAGGACATCTTCTCTGTGGCCAACATGTTCCAGATCCCCTCCATCTTCACCGTGTGCGTGTCCTTCCTGCAGAAGAGGCTCTGCCTCAGCAACTGCCTGGCCATCTTCCGGCTGGGATTGATGCTGGATTGCGCCCGGCTGGCTGTGGCTGCCCGGGATTTCATCTGCGACCGCTTCGCGCTCATCTCCCGGGACGAGGAGTTCTACCAGCTCTCCCCTGACGAGCTGATCGCCATCATCTCCAGTGACTCCCTCAACGTCGAGAAGGAGGAGAGTGTCTTTGAGGTGGTGATGAAGTGGGTGGGGACCAAGGACCGCGAGAGCCGGCAGAAGGCCTTGCCTGTCATCTTCGAGAGCATCCGCTTCCGCCTCATGCCCAACGACTACATCAAGGACCACGTGGAGAACCACGCCATGGTCAAGTCCAGCCCGGAGCTGCTCAAGAAGCTGCAGATGGTGAAGGACTCCCAGAAAGGCAAATTCACCGTGGTGAAGAAGAAGAAAGTGAAGAAGAACAGTGAGAATCAAGCAAAGGAGAACGTTGTCAATGGAGCAGTAGATGAAGGGGAAGATACGGAGGAGGATGCTCTCCCTGGGATCTTGAATGACACGATGCGCTTCGGGATGTTCCTCCAGGACCTCATTTTCATGGTGAGCGACAGTGGAGCAGTGGCCTATGACCCCAATGCCAACGAGTGCTATTTCGCCTCCCTGTCTACTCAAATCCCAAAGAACCACGTCAGTCTGGTGACCAAAGAGAATCAGATCTTCATTGTTGGGGGACTGTACTACAACGAGGACAACAAAGAGGATCCCATGAGCTCCTACTTCCTACAGGTACTACCTTTATCTTTCTTTTGTTTCTTTGACATTTGGTAACATCACCAAGCTTTAGCTTGCTTTCAAAGCCCATAATATTTGTTGTCACGTGATGTTAAAATGAAAGTTTTAAACAAAGCACAATGATCTGGGTTGCTTTACTGGAGATTCTTCTCCCTTTATTTTTAAGGCAGATGTCACTGAGTAGTTTGCGGTTGAGTAGGTTGTGGTAGTTGAGGAAGAAGGTTTGAAGGAGTAGGAAATAGGAATGATCCAAATCCTGAAGAGAGGATTGTTTATAACATTGGATTTGGCCCAGCCCTGGCTGCCATAGGATTCACAAACTGGGAGGTTTATGGCATCAGACACAGCTTGTTTTGCATCCCCTGCCTTCCCTGGTTATGAACCCCAGGAAAACCCAAGGGTGACACTGTCAGGTGCCAAAAAAGAATCATCAGCAGCTGCAGACACAGAGCAAACACCCCAAGGACACAGGGCATGTCCCTGCCTCCCAACACGTGCCCATTCTTTGTGCTGCTCCTGCCCCTGGAGATGGGCTTGGTCCAGCTCAGGGTCTCTGCCTCAGCCATTGCCATCCTGAGAGGGGGAAACCCCCACGAGCTGTCTTTGGGGATGCTCCTCAGGGAAAGTGGCTGCTCTAACTCAGCAGCGACCCAGCTGTGACTGGATTGAGCCATGCAGGCAATCTGAGCCCCAGCCCGGGCTGCAGCCCAGATTTCTTTCTCTGCAGACAGCTAACACAAGGCGCCTGCCCTTCCTGCTGACCCCAAGCAATCCAGTAAATCCCCTGTTCTTCCTCCCATACCCAGAAATCCTTTTTTTGTTCCTCTCTATGGCTCAGATCTTCTGGGAATAAACAATAACGTGGCTCAGACTCACATCTTCTGGGGAGAACAATAACATCTCCAGGCAGAAAGGATAAAATGAGGGTGGTTGCCAAGCTGGGACACAGAGCCCTGATCCTTGCCTTGACTCGTTGCCCTCATCAGTAGGGCTGCACATCATGCAGGGAACATGCTTATCCTCACCTAGAAAGGGGCAGGGGATTGTGCAGGGAATGAGAAGCAAAGAGGAAGAAGCCCCCAGCCCTACATAGCAGGAAGGAGTGGGAAAGTTGAGGAAGTGCTGGGGGTGTCCTGATTGAGATACAGCCTTTCACACTGGACAATCCATGATGACAGAGGTGTGGGCAACCCCATAATTTGCCTGTGAAGAGCAGGGCCAATGTATTCAGCCCTAACCTGTGCCTAAAGATCAATCTTCCCAGCAGAGGTGGAGCAGGGTCCAGAAACATCAGAGAACCTCCACAGAATGGCCTGGGAGGCCATTTTATGGAATCTTGAGAGTGACCTTGAAGATCACCCAGTTCCAAACCCTGCCACAAGCAGGGACACCTTCCACTAGGCCAGGTTGCTCAGAGCTCCATCCAACTTGGCCTTGAACACTTCCAGAGGAGGGGCAGCCTCCTTGGAATAATTCAATGTTTGACTTCACAAAAGCCCTGAGAAGCTGCTCTAACTCCAAGTCTGTGCCCCTTGAATATGTGGGTTGGATGAAAAACCTTTGGTGGTCCTTCCCCCCAAAGTACTCTGTGTTTCTAAGCTGCAAACAGAAGATTTCTCTGTTCAGCTCCCAGTTTGCCACTAACTCAGTGGCAAATGCTTTGAGCATCATGGGGCCAGTTTCAGCACTTCCCCACAAGAAGGGTCTCTTTCACACATCACCATATCACTTGTGCTTGGGAGAATTAGACAAACCCTGGGACTGGAGAGTGCCATCAGTTTGCAGATGTTTAATTTATTACATCAGTGTCATTATGTAGCTCACAGTTGCTGAATGAGCAAGAAAGGTTTTGAGGCCTTTTTTTTTGCAGCTCAAATGACATATTTAGACATGCAGCTCTATGACAAGCCACTGTACCACAGCTCCCTACACCTTCTGACTCTTTCTACCCTCCCCAAATTTCACATTCCCCCTGCTGAAGCCAGGTGCATTAGGTCAGATATAATTTAGATTTAAAGACAGGCACCAAAATATAAAAATGCTGATAAATCCCAGGGGCCTTGTAGATTTTGGCAGGAGCAAAATGATTCCATTGACATTTCAGATGGAAAAGGGTATCCTTTCTTTGTCACTTGCAAGATTTATTACTTGAAAACAATGCTGAATCCATCAAGAAGCAGGAACTATCCTAATGACTGAACAGCTCAGGGTTGCACTATAAATAACACATGTGTGGACCACAGCTTACAAAGAGACAAAAACCACAGGCACCCAGCTGAGGGCAAGTTTTGGAGCCAACCCATCAGGCTGAAGCTCCTTGGCCTGAGCCCATGGCAAACAATGCTCCAGGCAGTGCTGCGTCACAGCTTCATCCTGCAGTCCCACAAAACTGGCTGCAAGACATCCCTCCCTCCTCTATCAAGCGATATTAATTTTTTTTTTCCCAGTTCCCATTAAGCCACAGGGCTCAGAGTCTCCGGTCTAAGAATTTTTCTTTTTTTTTTTTTTTTCTTTCCTGGTGGGAGATGAGGCAATGCCATGATCTACAGATGTCCAAGGAGTTGGTGATCTGATCCAGCAGCTTGGTCGTCTCTCAGATGGGTCTGGCACACTTTATCTGTGTAGCCAACATTGCTGGCAGCACCCTGTTACCTGGCAGAGATGGAAAATGCCAGGATGAAATAATGTGAGGTGTTCTATGCATGAAAAGGTTCAGGAAAATTTCTAGGATTGAAATGTTTCCATTCCTCCAGTCCCAGGAATGATCCATGGTAAGTGCAGCAAGAATTCTCTCAACCAAAGATGACCAAGCTTGTTTTAAGTTCCAAGTTAGAAGAGGAGACTCAGGAGAGAGGTTTTCACTTTACAACTCCCTGAAAGGAGGCTGGAGCCAGGTGGGGTTGGCCTCTTCTCCCAGGCAACCAGGGACAGGATGAGAGGACAAGGTCTCAAGCTGCACCAAGGGAGGCTCAGGTTGGATGTCATGGAGAAAGTTGTTACTGGAAAGGTGGTCAGGCATTGAGATGGGCTGCTCAGGGAAGTGGTGCAGTCACCATCCCTGGAGGTGTTCAAGTAATGACCTGATGTGGTCCTCAGTGCTGTGGAATTAACAAGGAGGTGACTGGTCAAAGGTTGGACTCCATGATCTCAGAGGTATTTCCCAACTTTAATGTGATTCTATGAGGTCCAGGCTTTGATGAATAGAGCAGAATGTGTTGTTGCAGACTCCTCTCTGCTCTTATGCCTTGTTATAAAAGATCTATCATACAAACTGTGACTTGGGTTTGCTCTCAGATCTCCCATCCTGCTCCAGCTGACAAAGGCACAGCCACAGGAGCATTGCAGAGTGCTGCTGGGGTGACCAAGCTGCACATGGGAGCAGACGTTTTCCTCCACCCCTGCACCCTGACTTTTGCTAAACAAATGGGCACACACTAATGACCGCACGTTCCCTTCCAGTACGACCATCTGGACGCAGACTGGCTGGGGATGCCCCCCCTGCCCTCCCCTCGCTGCCTCTTCGGCCTGGGGGAGGCAGAAAACTCAATTTTTGTGGTTGGAGGGAAGGAGCTGAAGGAGGGAGAGAAGACCTTGGATTCAGTCCTGTGCTACGACCGGCTGTGAGTGCTCAGGGCGAGTGTGGGGTGGAGGGGGCTTGGAGGAAGGAGGTGGAGCAGCTGCCATGCACCGTGACTCCAGCTCTCCAGGGGTCAAAATGTTTGGGAGAAGGGCTTGAACTCTGGGTGTGGATGCTGGCACTGTCCTCGAGCTGTGCCCTGGGGCTCTGAGCTGCCTCATTCCAGCTGCTCCCCTTGTTGAGAAGACTGAAGCCTTTATGGGGATATTTTGTTATCTGGGACTGGTGTTAGTAGATGTTCATGTGAGACGTGTACAGAGGTGTTTTTTTCTTCTGCTAAATCTTCCGCCCTTGCCCATTGATTAAAGGATTAGTGACATTCACAGTGGTCTCACCAAAAGAGGTTTGAACAGAAAAGCTTGTTTTTAAAATTTTCAGATGTGTCACAGAATGGCTCATCCTGATTGATATCAGGCTTAATATCCAATTATTTTTGGACAATGGGCTCTGACCCATGCTAGCTCATGAGCTTTATTAAAAGGCACCATCCTGTTCTTCTCTCAGGAGACAGAAACTTCCAAAGCCTGCTGCTCTCTGCCCCAAAGAGACAGAGCAGCAGGCATCAACAAGCCTTTGCTTGGTCTATATTTAGATGTGTGTGCTTCCAAGTCTGTTTTACAGGCAGAGATTTGAAACCAGTTCCATTCCCACAGAGCAGGACATTTATCTGCCCCTGCAGACTCTGGGGAACAATTTGTCTGCCCCCACTAAGTGCTTGGGGGCGGTTTGAGTATCAGTTTGAAGTAGAGATGTGATCAGCACCACTCTAGCTCTGGTTTTATTTGGTTGACATTACTCTGACTGATATGGCTGAACATGAGCCAGCCGTGTGCCCAGGTGGCCAAGAGGGCCAGTGGCATCCAGGATGTATCAGCAGGACCAGGGAATGTCCCTTCCTTTGTGCTGGGCACCGTGAGGCTGCACCTCAAATCCTACATCCCATTTTGGGCTTTTCACGACAAAATTGACATTGAGGAGCTGGAGTGAGCCCCAAGAAGGGAACAGAGCTGAGGAAGGGTCTGGAGCACCAGGAGCAGCTGAAAGAACTTGGGAGGCTCAGCTTGGAGAAAAGGAGGTTTAAGGGGTCATTATTGCTATCTATACCTACCTGAAAATAATCGATACTGGCATAAATATTCTGCTCATTTTACTGTCACCCTTTTTTAGGATCACAACATTTACTGTCTGAGCCTCCTTACAGACCTTGTCTGTCTGAGATTGAATCCAGCCCTGTGCTCACCTCTAGGTCTGGAAAATGCTATGTCCTCTAGGTGTCATCCAGCAAGTTGCAAATCCTTTTGCCTCCCATCTTTTTCTGGCCCAGGTCCTTCAAGTGGGGTGAGGCCGATCCCCTTCCCTACGCAGTCTATGGCCACGCAGTGGTATCACACAAGGATCTTGTCTACGTCATCGGGGGCAAAGGGAGTGACAAGTAAGTCAAAAAACAAGAAAAATCAAGGAGGCAATCACCCAGTCCAGTGGGAGTGAAGAGCTGGTATCTCCTCAGCCTGGTTTGAGGAGGGCTGGATGGGATAGGAGATGTGGATCCTTCCGCCTCCACTCACCTTTGTGCCTGCAGCCCTTTCCAAAACCTTGGGAGGTCAACAGGGATATCAGGAAGATGGCAGTGTCCTTGCAGGAGAAAGAATGTATTGGCCCATCCCTGGGAGCAGGCTGGAGAGGGCTTTGAGGGAAACTGGTCTAGTGGAAGGTGTCCCTGCCCATGGGGGTTGGAATGAGATGCTCTTTAAAGATCCTTCCAAATCAGACCATTCTCTGAACCCCTTTGCTCACAAAAAAAATAAATGTCACACAGATTGGGAGAGGCTTTGAAGAGCCAGAAGCCCCTTCACTTTTAGGGTGTCCTGTCTTGGGCTTGTGGAGCAAAGTGGTCACCACAGTCAAATCCAGACATGTATTTGCAACAGGAGGGGAAAACCTCATCCACCCTGACCCCATCCCGCCCTCCTGCAGGAGACGAGCTCAGCAGGAAAAGCCTCACTCAGGAGCATCACAGTGGCTGCCTTGCAGGGCACAAATGTGACTGTTTGCAGAGCAAACATTCCACAATCCAGCAAGGATTGGTCCTGCTCTGGGGTTATGGTCTGAAGGGTGTGAACATCCTCACACTGCCCCCCTGGTGACAGGAATGCCACTGAGGATATTTTGCAGCACCACGGTGGATCAGGAGCAATAAAACAATGCCTTGGTGTCTTAAGAGGCTGTTGGCTGCCTGGACCTGTTTCCAGGTGTGTGAGCAGCAAGCTGAGCTCTCAGGACTCCTATCCAAAGCAGGCACAGCAGGAGGAGATGTGTTACACACACAAATGGTGGCTCCAGGCATGGACATCCTTGGGTGTCCATGATGATGGACACCCAACAAAGGATGCACACCCAACAAAGGCTGTGGGCTCCTCCCCTCATGCTGATGTGAAGGAGCAAAATCCTCCCTAGAGACCCCACCTTCTTCCCAGCAGACACCCCCAAACCCCGGGAATGCAAAACCACCCCTTGGCAGGGGATCGAGGCTCCTTTCCCCTCTCATTTTTCTCCAGGAAGTGCCTGAAGAAGATGTGTGTCTACAACCCAGCCAAGTTTGAGTGGAAGGAAATGGCTCCCATGAAAACAGCCCGCTCCTTGTTCGGAGCCACCGTGCACAAGGACAAAATCTTCGTGGCAGCTGGAGTCACTGACTCTGGTTTGACCAGCTCGGTGGAGGTCTATGACATCACCACCAACAAGTATGTCCTGAGTTGTGGTTACACAAGGAGTAGGTGCAGGTGTACACTCAGCAGCTTCCAACCATCCTGCAGTTGGTTTCTGATTCCTGATGTCAGTTCCTCCAGTTTATAGGCCCACAGTAGGGGAGCTGGAACTGGATAATCTTTAAGGTTCCTTCCAACCCAAGCCATTCCAGGGTTCTATGGTTCCTCAGAGAGCTGGGCATCACCAAAGCCACTGTGGTTGGGCTGTGGATCATCTCAGGCTGGCCCTCAAAGTGGTTTCACCTGCAGTGCCATCCTTGGGTTCCCTGGAGCTTCACCCAACACAACAAACCCTCTGAGTCTGGGTGTCTCTGGCAGCTGCAGTCCCAGCACTGGGACATACTGGTCCATGTACCAAAGCAAAACAATGATGATGGGAACAGCTTCCCTAAGAACAACCAGGGTATGGTCCCATCCTGCCTACTAGACCTGCATAGATTAGATGGATGTGTCACCGGCGAGCTCAGCTGTTGAATCCTGATTTGAGGCCATCCTCAGTGTGGGGGTGGCCAGGATGCTCTGACTTGTCCCCTCTGTGACGTGGCAGGTGGGACACCTTCACCGAGTTCCCCCAGGAGCGCAGCTCCGTCAGCCTGGTCAGCCTGTCTGGGGTGCTCTACCTGCTCGGGGGGTTCGCCACGGTGGAGACGGAGTCGGGAGAGCTGGTGCCAACGGAGCTGAACGATGTTTGGAGGTGACAACCTTCCCCAGGGCTGTCCAAGGGAGCGTGGGAGGGATGTTAGTAATGACATAGATAATTTCTGTCTTTTTTTATGCCGTCAGTGTGAGATGGAGGTTGTCACCCCAGCATGAGGCTGCAGGCTCAGCACTTGGTGTCTGGGAAGTTTGTCCTGTGCTGTGCTGGAGGGCACACTGGTGCTTCAGTGATCTCTCCCAGCCTCACACAGCAACAGGCCAGGGAAAGCTTGCTGTTGTTGGGCACTGACATTTTGCCTGGGGCTGGTTCCAGCCTCCCCTTTGGTGTGGAGCAGCATTTGTGTGATGCTTCCTCTCCCTGGGAACAGCCAGTGCTCAGGGTGGGAAGCAGATAGTCTTACATGCAAGAGGAGTGGGCAGAAAGCACTTAGTGACAGCTGCTAATGCAGCACTGGCTGCTCCTGTCCCTCATGTCGGTGCTCTGGCACCCTCAGCAGGATCCTGCTGTCCTTCACCATGGATGGTCCACCTTGGTGCCATCAACCCAGTTCCCAGAAGAAAAATATCCCCATATCCCTCCCTTGCAAGGCCACATGCTGGTATCCACGTCCCCCAAACCAGAGCACGCCAGGGCTGAAAGCCCTCATACAAATTCTTGTGGCCAAATAACTCTTGTGAGTTCCCACGTAAATTCTTGCGGACAAATAACTCCTGTGGGCTCCCACCTCCATGAAGAGCAGCTGGAGGGAGGGAGAGGAGACATTTCCTCACCGTTATGTGTCTTTCTCCAGGTATGATGAGGAGCAGAAGAAGTGGGAAGGGGTTCTCCGGGAGATCCAGTACGCCTCCGGTGCCACGTTCCTGCCCGTGCGCCTCAATGTTCTGCGCCTAACCAAGATGTAGTCAGGAGTGACGGGTCCTCTTTCCACGGGGTTCTGGGGCAAAGAGGGATGGGGAGATGCTTCTCAGAGATGTGGCATCTGGACACTGCCCAGGACATTGCATCTGTGATTGGTACTTTTTTGGATAAGTGGGAAAGAGGGGAGAGTATCTGGAAAACCTCCAGGAACTTGGAGGTGCTCGCAAGGTAATTAGAGAGGGGATCTGGAGCCTGCAAGGAGCTGGGGAAGAGGAGAAGCACAGAAAAATCAGTTATTCCAGTCTCAGGAGACAGGACAAATTGATCATATATTTTTTTAACTTCTTTCTCCATCTTTCCAACTGCTGTTGGACCTCTCCAACAAACAGCAGATGCAGAAAGTGAGGACTAGGATGACATTCCCCAAGGAAAGGTGTCCACAAAGTATTTCCCAGCCTAAGGTGTCTGTGTTCCTTGGAGACGAGAAAGAAGGGTTAAAGTCAAGTGGTATAGGAGAAACCTGGTAGAATTTGATGAGTTCCTGAGTGAAGAGAGTTGTTGGGATGAGACAGTTAAAAGAGAACATGTGAGCAGCAGAAGCACTTTGGAAATTGTAATGAAGAGCAAAATATCTCAGTTCTTTGCCTCCACCTTGACTTTGGAGTGATGAGAGGCCGGGAGCTGCGTCTCAGGAAGGAAGAAATCATGGAAGTTGTAGGTGGGAAGGGAGGAGAGATGGACAGAGGATGCCATGTGTGGTCATCTCCAGCCTTTTGGGCTCTCCACCTTCAATCACAGATCACAATGTCCTCACCTATGGATGGGCAAATGCTGATTTTTAGGGAAAGGTTTTATATTTTTGCTGTTTTTCTTATTTTTCATGTTCAGATTTTCTTTTTTAAGAGTATTTTACTTTGCTAAGATCTCAAATGTGTTTGGCTCAAAGAGAGCTTCTGACTGAGGAAAAATACATATTTATTTTAAAGTTGTCAGTAATGAAGTTTTGATAGTGACATGACTGTAATGGCAGCAGGAAAAAAGATCTGTTAGACCAAAAATCTCCTGATGCCCACACCATCTGACCGGTGGTTTATTTAAAAATAAATTACTATTCCAAAAGAAATCCCCCGTGTTTGCACATTGATAGAGCTGAAACTGATCCTTCACAGAACCAAACACAAGGATTGAGCAAAAATTGTGATGGACACATGCAGTAAAATAGCCCCATGGAGAACCCCTCTTTTCTTGTTATTTTCCCCCATTTGAGAGCTGAAATTTTAGGATCTGTATCCTTGAGCTCTTCCCTATGGAGACCACAATTAAGCATTTACCCAGGACTAGAAGGAAGCTGGATGCTTACACTGACAGGATGAGAGGAAATGGCCTCAAATTGTGCCAGGGGAGGTTTATAATACAAAATAATTGCCTCAAAGTGGTATGAAAATTCTGGTATCAAAAATCTGGGTCAAAATGCAGTTGTGGAGAAACTGAAATATGTTTGAAAAGAAAAAGAATTAAAGGGAAGTAAAGGAACCAGAGTCTTGTCCTGGTTTCATTTGAAGGATTTAAGAAGTTACAGGATAAGCTCCTTAGAGGACAATCACATCAGAACAGTAATGAAATATTTCAAAAGAAAAAGAAATCCAAGGTGACTGGCTGTCACAAAGTAGCTTAAAAAAAAAAAAGGAACAAAAATCTTTGAAACAATCAAATGTGTGAAAAAAGCACGGAAAAGAAATAAACACCTTCTGCCTAGCTCTGCAGAAATTAATGTTGAGAATTCCCAAGCTAATTAAAGATGAATCTTCCAAATAGCTTTTGGCAGAAAAAAAAAGAGAATAATTCAGGAAAAAAAAAATATCCCTGAATAGAATAATAATTTTAAAAAGTAATTTATTGTAGTGTCAGGATCCCACCTCCTGCCTCCAGCAACACCATCCCTGGAAGTGTTCAAGGAATGAGTGGAAGCTGTCTGGTTGACAAGGTGGTGGTTGGTCAAAGGTTGACTCAGTGATCTGGCATTTTCCAGCATTTTCCAGCCTTAATGATTCTGTGATTCCATGACCTTTGCTTCAGCTCTTCTTGCTGAATTCATGCTGGGAAATTGTTGAGGTTTAACCCCCACTCACCTCACCACATTTCTTAGCTCTCCTGGAGGAATTCTGGGCTTTTTGAAGCCAGCAGGAGAATGTTGCTGACCTTCCATGAGTTGTTGTGATGTGGTCCCTGATAAAGGCTCAAGATGTTTCAAATAAACTGGAGTTTGGTGCTCACGTGTGATTCACATCCATTACAGAGCTGTGGAGAAGCCACCACTGGGGCACAGGGCAGGAAACTATAAAAGGAAAAATAGCTGTTGTATAAAAATACCCAGAAGAACTTGTAAATAGCCCACTGCTTGAGCAACAAGAGGCGAATCTCAGCACACGCTGGTCCCAGGAAGGAGGCAAAGTTGGACATCACCAAGTGGAGGTGTGGCCTGGGGATGTTCCTCCACATCTCCAAGAGGCTGTGTCAGTTTAAAGGCCATCATGGGTAAGAAATGCCACCAGGAATGCTCAGAGAGACATCACTCTTCCCTGCTGCCTGGTGTCTTCCTGGCTCAGATACAACAGCTCCAGTGGCACAGATCCTCCTACAGTTAACAACAGTGGCAAAGACTACATCCAAAGGCTGAGGGAAAACCATCTCTTCTTCCATTATCTTCCCAATATCCATGCTGATATCACTGTCGAGGTTCCCTGTGCTCCACTTTAAATTAATAAAGGCATTGGTTGCTTTTGGATGTGCTCCTTGGTTTCTCCACAGCCAACAGAGACTGGAGAGCTCCTACTCAGAGTTCACACTGACCTGAGAGCCAGTAGGGCCAGGTGCTCAGTCCTTATGCCAGGGCTGTAAGCACGGAATTCCTTCTTCTCATCACTCATCACCCTTCCTTGAAAAGCTCCTTTTTTGTTGGCCCCACAGCAGTCAAGTTGTCTCACACACACGCACACACCTCCCACCAAACCCAACACAGAGCCTGTACATGCGAAACAGTGGCAGCAGTCAACATTCCACAGGATTCCTCATCCTCCCATCTCTGACTGCTCACACAGTTGCCTGAAAAAAACCCTTTTAAAAGAAAATTTAAAAAAAAAAAGGAGGGGGGAGAAGAAAAAGATAAAGCAAAATTAAAGTAACAAAGAAAGTGGTGGAGCTTTTGGTTTTCTTTTATAAAAGACAAATCGTTTATTGATTCAGTCCTTCCACTTGCAACCTCTTTGGTAACAGTCTTAACACTTCCAGACTGGGAGAACGCAGTGGAAAGGGCCCGGTTCTGACTTCTCACCAATTTCAGAGCTCAGCAAGCCCCAACGTGCCTTGGTGAGAGGCCAAAAGCAGATTTCAAAGCATGGCCAAGGATCTGGCCTTGAGGGACAACCCAAACCAGCCTCCCTACCGTGACTTGTTGGGCTCGTGGGCGGCTCAGAGAGCAGCCCCAGCACCCCCAGGCAGAAGATGGCTCGGGATGGGGATGTCTGACTGGGAGTTGTGCCCTGGGAGGTGGCTTTGATGAACCTCTTGGGACCTCCTGGACGTTGGCCAACGGGACCATCGATGAAGCAAGACTCACCCGTTCCTGCGGTAGACAATGACTTGCCTCAGTTGGCCCCACGGGGATGGACTAATCCAACCAATCTCAGCCTCCCCCTCCTCACACCATCCCAAAGAGAGTAACTGCTGTACTTGGAGTTAAAGATAAACATATATTGATTACACATGGTCATAAAAAAAAAAAAGTAATAATAATAATAATAATAATACATTTCCTAGAACATTACTTAAGACGCTTCCGAAAAGCATCCAAGCTTCCCCTCCCCTCCCCGCCTTCCCTTAATCTATACAGAATAAAGTGCTTTGTTTAGTTTGTTCACACTTGTAGAGCCACCAATACACTCTTAACTTGGCATGTTTGGGCAACCGATACTGAATGCCGTAAAATAATTCAGAGCCGAACACCAGGCATGAGAAACTAGTTTTGAGGCAAGTGCTTGGGGTTTCATTCATCTCCTTCAAGTTCCATGCTACAGAGGTTGTTCTTATTCCTATTTTTCTTTTCTTTCTTCTCCTTTTTTAAAAATTATTATTTTCTTCCTTTGTAAGTTCAACCCAACTCCTGTCGTGGTTCTGTGTCTCTAGGCAGGGCTGCGTGTGGGGAAGCTCTCGCCGTCCGTGTGAACAAAGGGCGTCTGTCCGTCTGTCCTTCCCTCCTGACTGCGGGCAAACCTCAGAGGAGTTCTCTAGCAGCGGATGCTCGTCTCTATTGCACTGTCACAGCCATTCCCACCCATCCGTCCATCCATCCACCACCTTCCCACCGCGCCAGGGTTATGGCTGTGGTCCGAAGGGCCAGCTGTGCCTCATGGATACGTGAGGCGAACTGGTCTGTGCTACCAGGCTCCTGGGATATATAAACCAAAAATGACCTTCCCCACATGATTCCCTCCCTCCCCAAAGTTCAAATAAAGGGTGGAGTGGAGGGGGAAAAAAAAATTTCCGGCCCAGACAGGACTGGGGTTTAGGTGTGTGGGAAGAGCTGTCAGCTGAAAGTTGAGCTACGGCGTATTCAGGAACTGCGTAATGGAAATCAAGCCCCTCTCCACCCTCGCGGTCTGTCAAAGAAGGGATGTGAGAGATTAAGGTGCAAGAGTTAAAAAAAAATAAAAAAAATAATAAAAAAAAAAAAGTAAAACATAAAAAGCTTGAAAACAACGGACCCAGCTCTCCTGCCCTGTCTAACCCCAAGGGGTGCGACAGCGTGACGGGGACGGGTCCGGGATGGACGAGGCACTGCGGGAGCGACTCGTCTGAGCTCTCAGTACGCGAACGAAAACCAGACATGGAGACACATTGGGGCTGTCAGGGTATGGACAAAAGGGCTCGGAGGCCTTGTAGGACTCCTGGGAACTACGGAGGCCTTGGAGAGGGGAGGGAGCAGCAGGGATCTGGTTCTCCAAAGTGCTGTGTGCATGGTCACATCTCAATGTCTCCAAGTGGCTCTACGAGCAGGCTCTCCAAGGGGATCGGACGTGGCTGGGATCGCTCACTGGGCTGTCCGCTGGGCTTCCAGCCTCAAGGAAGTGCTCTCATCTCACAGAGATGTCCAAGGGGGGCAGGTCCTCACTGGGAGAGGATGAACTGGGACAGGAACAGGGAAAGCCACCTCCAGGAGAGTGGAATAAGGGAGCACACTGTCGGCATGGATGTTTACATGGGGGGGAAGTCTGTCGGCTGATGGGCTCCGTCACAGAAGACCATAGGTGAGCCCTCCTCAGGGCACAGCGCTCCCATCCTGCCTCAAGACTGAACATGAGGGGAAAGAAGCACAAGGAAGCCCAAGGGGATGGAATATGGGAGGCAGCAGAGGAGGAGACAGCATGGACCACTCCAGCACCTCCATGGGTTTCACTGAATCCTTCTCTAAAGCAAGCATCTTCCAGTACGGGTCATGGTCCCTTCAGACAGCCAATGGCCCCAAGAGCCCTCATCCCTCACAGGTGTGTTTGAGGCTTTGCACCATCCCAACAAGCCCCAGGGTCATGGAGGAGGGCAGCAGAGAAGCCTTTGGAACCCACCTGAGAAGGTCAGTAAGGTGAGGCAGCTCTGCCATAGCAACCTCCCCGTGCTCGGAGCAAATGGAGATGGGGGGTGAGCTCACTGGTACTGAGAGCCACGCTGGGGATCCACAGGATCCCAGCCAACACAAAGATTAAAAGAAGTTTGTGGCTCCAAAATGCTAACATCAATCAGATTTCCCAAGATGCCGGGCACCAGTGGGGCACCACTCAGAAGGGGGTGACACCAGTCACCTCAAAGAGCACTCAGGAGAACAGCAGATGCTCCCCGGTCCTGTCCCTGTCAGGCTGCTGCATGTCCCCAGTCAGGAAAGCCCCTGAATCCTCCCATGTCTGCAGGGACAGCCTCAGTGCTGCCCAAGTGCTTTGCTGATTTGGTCCAGGAGACGAAGCACTAAGACTTTTTGCAGAGCCAGATGTGGGTCCCTGTCCCCAGCACTCTGCTGGGTGAGAAAAGGCTCCTGCAGCCCACTCGGTGACCTCTTTCCTTCTTACCTAACAGTGCTTCCACCACCTCCTCCGTGACCTGGCCCGCAGGTGGCCTCAACACCAGCTTTAGAAGCACAGGATCAGCTGGAACACCCCCCACCTCTTGCCAGCCCTTCTCTGCCCATGCTGGGTGCTCTCTGACTCCACAGGGGACAATTCCCCCAGCAGGGACCCCACAGCCGTGGTCAGGACAATGCATGGCACCCTGGGGCAGAGCACAGCAGTGAGAGACCCTGCTGGGACCTCACTGCCCAACAAAAAGGTGACGGCAAAGCCTTCCTCTTCTCCTCCTCCTCAGCATGAAGCCAGCCATATTATTTGAAAGTAAGTGAAAACAAAGACCAGCTCGACCTCAACATCTTCAACAAGCCCTAAGCAACACCACAGGGCATCACCAAAACAACCACATCTCTTACTGGTTCCCTC